GATTTGAAAGCGTCAGTAAGGTTTTACGTCCGAACGGAGAAAATTCTTGCCAAAATGAGCCTAGATACGGATGAGGAATAGTTTTCATCAAAAATAGGTCAAGGTTGTGTGCGTGCATTAAATTGGAGCTCGCAAAAACTGGCGGGGCTTAACTTTTCGCACATGGACTTTTTGCAATAGTGGTTTATCTAGAAAAGACCCGGCGTGTTGTTCTTAGCATTCCATTTAGGTTGGCACAATAACGGTTTGGTTCGCCATCAGATGCCGAGGTTTGGATGGGGTCTGCCGGACTATGCACACAAGTTTGGAGCTTCAAGAAGATAGGTCTTTTTTCTTTTAGCTCTTTCCGTTACGAAGTTTTAACACCCACATGCAAATTCGTTGAACCAAAAAAACTTTCTACGGGTATAATTTGGATGTGACTATTGGAGTAGATTAGTCTAGGTTACTTTTCGGATTGAGAAAAAACAAAACTTTTGGGCTTTACATGAAAGCCCAAAAACAGAAAAACAAGATAGGGGTGTTTCATTGACCCATTATACGGTCGATATCTTCTTCCTGAGAACTTTACCAGATCTACAGTATTGATCAGCCAATGAGTGCTTGCGAATTGGAGCAGTATTCACAGTGTATCGATAATCTCTCTTCTATGGACCAGCTTATGGAGAACGAATCAAGTAGGAGTTTTTAGCCCACATAGACCAGAATTGTGCTTCTGGTTGATCGAGTTTTCATCAACTCAGAAGGGCACAGTAAAATATTGATTGACGACAGTGATTATGCATCGGTGTTACTCGGACCAAAAGGCACATAATCACCGATTTATTTAGTTAGTTTTTACGGTATTCTCGCGGTGCCATCCGGATCCTCATCCATTACCGTTTAGCAAGGTAGCTTGCAAAGTTATCGCACACAAGTCGGTCCAAGTGATTTGCTCTCCATAAGCGGTTGCAGAGCGATGCAGACCAGGTCATCAATCTTCTGGTTTTGTGACGCCTTAGTGTGTGGTCTCAGCTGATCACGTGACTAGCTCAATTCCGTCTAATTTATCAGGCATCAGAACTTACCAGGCATCGCGATCAAATCAGTCTGCAAACGATCCTCATGGTCACGTGTTCAAAAACAGTTACTTCCTGTCCCGATCAGCTTAGCTAAGGAAAATGAATATCACTAAATCTTTGAAAGGCAGGCGTTTTATAGAAACAGCTAATATCAAGATCTCACAGCCTTAACGTCTGACTTACCCTGAAGCCTGGATCTGCTATGTGTGTATATAGCTGCGATTAACTTAAGGCAAGTGAATATTTTTCAATCAACTGTATCGTGAATGCATTCAACCGCAGCTCTATCTTTACCACCATAATATACCAACCATCTGGATTTTATCACTGGAGCTGCTTCCCAGAAGTGTGATCCATGTCATCACAACGACCTGGATTTCACGAAGTCCTCAAGTTCATTATCTTCTCCACAGTCCTTTCTCAAGACCTTTTCTCCACAAAACGTACATACCAACACGCCTTGAGCAGACGGATTGGTCTTGCCTCATATTTCCTTCTTACCTGGATACTAACTTGCACTGAGGCACCCTTTTGCAAACTAAAGTGCTATAACGGGAGATTATGACCAAGTACACGAGATCCAGGTAGATTGTACACCGTTAGATGGAAACGATCCGCAGATTTCTTCACCCAACGTTCAATGATCAATCCAGGTCGGCCTGGTTCAGCGAATTGCCTATCGTTCCCACATCATTTCACTTAGGATGACGTCCTGATAATGCCACCTCCAATTGCAATGAGACGTTTGTGACAAAACTACCCAGTTGGACGAGCAAGTCAGTGGCCAGCTAATTAACCTGTATTGGCTGGCTGGCTGGTTGGCTGCAGTTATGCGATCATTCACTATGTCTCCCCCGACCCTCGAGAAGTTTGCCCTGTCCCATTTTAAACACTGTCCCAAAAGACTGGATGGCATGGCGCACAATGGAATTGAATTTTCGACAGCTATGACGTGCCCCTGATAAGTAAAAGCAATCGGACAATTGAGTTCAGAGTACTATTCCAAACTTTTGAGCCTCATTTAGGCATCTCGGATGCATCTCAGCGATGCTGGGAAATTACTCCACCAGATGTTTCCACCAGAAGTATGATTGCTCCAGTAGGCAATAAAATTTGGTGAGCTGCAAAAATGTGAAGGTAGATTAGAATTGTTTTCAGTTTAAGCACATACACAACAAAATGAAACATTTAGGCGCGAAGAGTTTTACTCCACTCTTAAAGGTTTTGCAGCTAAAAGCATTGTGCGGCTAATGGGCACCGGATGGCATACCTTGAATGTATTAGGGTCTGACAACCATAAGTCCTGCAAACTAGTTAATGTATGTCTTCGTTCAGATGTAACACCCTTCCAGTGCCTAGCTACCATACCACCCGAAGGGAGCAGGTGTTGATTTAACATCCAAGCACACTCAGGAGCAATCGAGATGCTGGAGATAAGTTCGAGCAACGGGCCTTCTTGTTAGTAAGTTGGTGCAGTAACCAATATCTCGAGCTCAAAGTCTATCGAGGCACACACACAGTTCTATACAGTGGTGATCAATAACAACAAAGAGCGGCTTTTCTGACGTATGCTGACTAATAGAATTGGAAACTACCGACGGTTTTCCGGCCTATCTATACAGTGGTGATCAATAACAACAAAGAGCGGCTTTTCTGACGTATGCTGACTAATAGAATTGGAAACTACCGACAGATTTACCGGCCTATCTATGGAAGGTGGCGGCGTCCGAATGACAGAAGATGTACTTGCCTAAGAGATCGGACAGACTAGATCGGAGGATGGTTCCTTTAACGTTTCTGGCACAAATAAACGCTTTTGATAGTCCAAGTGCACGTCAGTGTCTAGTATTCTCTGGCTGGCAAGATACCTAGGGGGGGTAGCTTACTCAACACTTGTGACGCGAATTTTAGCATCGACCTCTCTCAGGAATGCGATTTGTACCACACATGGCTGTCTCATTGCTAGTTCAGATGCCTTACCTGAGTGGATTTATTAGCCATGACAATCCTATTAAAAACTGCTACGGAAGGACTGAAACCATTAACGGTTTTCCATTTGAAGTGACGAGCACACATAGGAAATCTTCTAGGTGTCGACTATGAAGTGGTTGTGGGCTGCTACGGGATTTGTAAATTTTGTATTCCAACGGTCCTGCTCCCGTCCCGATCCGCTTTCCGGTCTCGTCGATACCAAAACTGAGAATCGCCGGATTCGAATTTCATTCTTAATCGAAATTATCCGAGGAGTGTAAATTCGAGCCCGGAATAGTTGATATGAACTACTACTCTATCGGCAAGCGTTGGACGAATGTGAATTTACGTTTCCGGGCAGTCGAATGTACTTGGTTTGTCACATGTATCGTTCAAGCTGAAATATATCCCCTTGTTCAGACGCGAAAATTCAACTTTTTGTGCTGTGGACAGGTCATGGTAACACCATCGACTTGGCATGACTCAAGCCCAGTCACATACCCTCAGTTCCGTAATAGTCGTCCCAGGGCAGGAGCAGAACTTCACAAATGAGGCTGATTTTGCTACAAAATGGTTTTACAGGAGCTGAGGAAGTAACACTATAACAACAAGTTGAGACCAGTTAAGCGATCCCGTACCATCGTTCTACAGAAAGTTGATCAATTGTTCTAAGTTGGCACAATTTCGGCCTATCTATTGTTGTCCGTAGGTTGCGCATTCCTCTATTACATGGTTTTAGCCTTGCCATTGAAAGTACCGGGTTTTTTTAGTGTTGTCCGAGTTGTTTTTCCTCCGAACTCAGCAGCTTGTTTACAGGCGTTTTGTCGTTAGTTGAGGTAGCACCATCGGTGGCTAGTTATCCGAAAGCCCCTTCGTGGTTCAGCAACCTCCCAGTTGCCATTCTTGGATATCTGAATTTACCGTTTGCTCAAGATGTCGCCACCATCCATGAGCAAATTGGTGTTGTTAGGGACCAACACTGTCCAGACTGGAGTAGTTGGTCGAGGCCGATGTGGAAGATACTGTATCCAGCGCGAATAACTAGGTAAGTTGGACTCCTGATTTTGGGAATCTCCGTCAAGGCATTTTGGCCACCTGTGAAACTGAAAAGCAGACGGAATTCCGTTTTTGGGCTTTGAGATCGCCAGAAATCCCGAAGGTTCTACGCCCCTCGGTGCACATGGGAAACCTACTTAGACTGAACACTTCCAGAATATCACGTGCTTCTGCCTAGCAAAGCAGAAATGACGTTTTTTCCCATAGAGGTAATCAGATCTGCACTCACGTAGGGAACCTAATTACTCAGAGATCAATCAACTATACTGACTTCTTCATATGAATACACCTCGTGTCGAGTGATACACCCAGTGCGAGGGTTTTACCACTAGATGTCTATCCATATCGACGCATGTTCGAACATTCTGCAGAAAACAAAGAACCCAGAGGGAATATGTTCCTCACTTTTAGGGCTTTTTAGCCATTCTTTTGATTATCTGAAGGAACATCTCGGCCGGAAGACGCGACTTAATCTACCTTACCCTCTGATCTCCTCAGTAGTCTTGTCCTTAGTTAGTTCTACATTAATAGCTGATCCCTCTCTAGGTCAGACAGCGCTGATACATGCATCGATCTGTGCCAACCAGTGGTCGATAATCATGTACCGCTCGCAAGGCCCGAATGATTATCGCTCAAGTTGCATCTAACCGTAAAGCGGATTGCCGACCCGAAAGTGAACACAACTCAAGGCACAGGCGTACTCAACTCATCAAAAATCTACTCCTGTGTTGGCTCTTTTCTTCGGAAGTTATGCCCTAAAACCACTGCACAACGGCACACGCACCCGTCTTCTGTCACCAAGTCTAAACAGTTAGGAGTATAGCTCATTTCCATCTTCGACATAAACTGTCCCATCGCAAATCATCAGCATTTTCGACCCATCTACCCACTTAGTTTTGAAGAAAACATCGAAATCAGTCAATTATACAATACATATTTATTAAATGAACAAACATTTCTCAGGTAAAATAAGGCAACGCGTTGCTCATACAATTCGTGAATAGTGCTACTCACAGCTTAGACAAGCGACTAATTCATCCAAGTCCAATTTGCCATCTTTGTCTGCATCGTGGGTTTTGATGAAGGCCTCAACATCTTCCCGTTTCAGAATGCAGTTAGCACTGTCCAGGAATGTTTTGAGTTCTTCCACGCTTATTTTGCCGTCTTTGTTCGAGTCCAAACATTCAAGGACTGCTTTGACTTCGCTCTTGCTGTTTAATAGAATAATGAAACATGAAACAAACAAACAAACAATGAAACAAAGTGGAAGTATACAACTTAACGACCTGAAAATATCGGCCTACTCATCTACATCACTCAGAGAGCGCAAACTGTACTTCTCCAACCCTCATCAGGGCACAAAACTTGCCTATACTCAATTTGACGACAAATTCAGTGTTTTTTTTGTCCCACCCTAGTCCCATGCTACTCTGTTTGATGGTAACCTGAGTGACCGGGCCTCTCTGGTCACTTACTATCCTAAAAACACCGGCAGTCGAACAATGGACAAGACCACGTCAAGTGAACACCTCCGATGAGATACTGCATGAAAAATCAAAAAAATGGCGACACTTACGTGGGCATGATGCACGTCTGGCCGCGTGGACGAGATCCAAGTGGGAATCGGAAGTCACAAAAACCGAAACAGCACTCAGGACCGTTCAGTCTCCAATTTATATTGTTTGGACTTGCAACAAACAGCCTATCCGATCCGCATGTCAAGGTAACAGGGGCTCTCGTTCTCTATGGTGCGTCCCCCTGTCCTGTACACGACCATTTCGAAAGGCGTAGGCCTACGACTTCTTGATAGGGTGTTCAACGCAAGAAACTCTGTTGGCTGTCCATACGAGCCGATAAGCGCAAGTATTTGCGTAGGATGGTATTAAAAGGCTGTGTGCCATCATCCATTAGGCCATTGGTCAAGTGGATGTGTCCGCGTGGGTGGATAATGCAGCTTTGGGCAAATGCTACGTTCTCATTTGCTCTAGGCACAATATGCCTGAGGTTTAGGGGTGTTCAGTCGCTTAGTGTGGACCGATCTGCTTGCCAGAACCACAAAAAAATGGATGGCACAGATGAATCAACGAACGCAACTTCCCTATCAAAAGTTGGTGTTTTCATTTTGATGAGAGCTTGTTGAATCAGAAACGAACCAGTAAGTGTGTCTGTCAAGACGTAGCTTCGCTGCAACAGGCACCGAGTACCTGGTAGTTAATGTGCTTGAATCGCTAACTGCTGATTGGACCAGGAGTCACGTGATCGTGAGTTTCAACCTCGGTACGAACGGCCTATCAACGCCACTTGTGAAATGTGTGGCTGCAAAGAGATTGGGATCAGTGAAATTTACGCCATATTGCTGTGCTATATAGTATACTACTAAGACGACTTCACTCGAGCTGCATTCGGAGAAAGGAGCATTGAAGCCAATCCAAATGCCTACCTATAAAATCACCCGCATCAACAGGATTTCATCCCCGTTTTTTCCACTGCACGACTCTCGCTCGTTTTCCTATCCGAATTAATTGAGACAGTATAAACATATCTACTACGGAACACTTGGTTGCACTTAGTTCACACAACCTTTAGGACGGAATCCAAGACCGTAATTTTTTCTCACAGATAAACTGACCTTCACGGGTACGAATCGGTATGTGGAATCAATGCATACAACAGCCTGCGATTCAGAGGGTCATTTCACTGAAATTAGTTTGTGGACTAATTAGACTGACGGATTTAGAGCACAACAGGGAGGTGTGTTACTAGCATCGGTGAACGCACACAGGCGATTTCAAGTCTGTTGACTCCGTTGGATATCTGGACTGAGCCATCATCCCATTGTGTATGTTTGATCTTTTACGGTAGAAACAAGATCACGTGATACACGTGCGGACGGGCTCCTCGAGTGACGACACCTTTCCTTTTTGTGGGCGACTTAGAGATAGGTGGTGGCGTGAGGAGATCCAGCAAATTTTCAAGGTTGTCACAGATAGAATCGGGACAAACTCGGCCAAAAAAGTTGACTCACATTGATATCGCAACTGCTGATATCTGCCATCTTCGGTACCACGCTCACCTACTCGATGTTTGTTTTGTTCGTATGAATGTACACTTTGTATCAATCGTATCCTGGTAGGTCTCAGCATTTCAATACGAGATGCTTGTTAGGGAATTTCGGGTTGCCAATCTCGGAAAAACTCAGTGCGAGTCATTAAACTTGTTTTATTTCGAAGTAAGTTGTTAAAAGTCTTTGCTGGGTGGAGGTTCTCTGTGTGCACGACTCTCGCTCGTTTTCCTATCCGAATTAATTGAGACAGTATAAACATATCTACTACGGAACACTTGGTTGCACTTAGTTCACACAACCTTTAGGACGGAATCCAGGACCGTAATTTTTTCTCACAGATAAACTGACCTTCACGGGTACGAATCGGTATGTGGAATCAATGCATACAACAGCCTGCGATTCAGAGGATCATTTCACTGAAGTTAGTTTGTGGACGGGTTTAGAGCATAACAGAGAGTGTCCAGTATGTGATTCCGTTTGTGAGCTTGTGCCAAGACGAAATTTTGTAATTTGAGGGGACACTGTAGAGAGGTACCTAACAGTTACGGCATAAAGTAAAATGTGCTTTGTGAAAGTCGAAACCGTGTCCAAGGATCTTCCGAGTCTCAGCTAGGCAGACACATTGACTATCTCTTCTGATGAGTCGATCTGATGCAGATTGAGTACCCTAATCGTTGACTTTCCTAGGCCTTATATTACCAGGTTGTCTTGTGTGAACACTAGTTTGACCAAAACTTCCGTAGTCATCATCTTACTACTTATGACAGATGTATAGTTAACGAAGTCGATTCCCATGGACGTTTTCGGGGATTCCGACACAGAACTGAGGCCCGAGACGGCTACGTGGTTAGGCGCCAAATCGCTGACCGGAAGGTCCGTGCGCCCGTCGCCTAAACATGATGTGCTCTTAAGAAAAACAGTGGTGATTGATTTTGTAAGTTCAACATGTAGCATCTGTATTAGTCACCGTCAAATCATCCAATCCTGGCCAGATGATTCACATGTCTCTAACATGTTCTCGCGGGTCTGCGTGCAAAACAACACCTGTTGTTTCACCCAGTGACAACACATCAAAACTAACTACAGGGTCACCTGTGAAGGTCAAGGTCATTTCACCACCCACTGAAACACCATTTTGGCCTCTGGTTCAAGGATCCATCTCAGTTGTCCAATTCCTAGGTCAGGAACTGTGAGTCAAATGTGCACATTTCAAGTTTCAAACGAGACATCGGCAAATTCACCTCAGCCACCCTATGGTAGCCCCAATATCTGACTATTCTTTGGTGCTGATCTTAGAAGTTCCTCGAATACTTGAAGCTATTTTTTTCGAGTGCCTTTGTAAGCTTCTAATGAGAAGGACGACAATGACACGATGATAGTGATGATGATTTTGATGATGATGTTGGTAACTAGGCTTTCAAATGAGCGGTACCCCTTTGGGGACCCTTCCTTTCAACCAAAACCTCTTCAAGACGCCCTCCTGACCTACCACGATGTACTGCGATTCGTGCAGAAACTGCTTCTCTACTTCAAACGAAGACCACTCGGTGTGACGCATGGAAATGACCGAGGAAACTAGTGGGGGGAAGATCAAACCAGCTAAAATCAGCAATCACCATCAAAGATCAGGATCGATGAAGCAGGCTTTTCCGAGACTCAACATCTGTAGGAGGAAATCGTATACAAAGGCTGGGTACAAAGGAACGAATGACATCCATTTCTGCAATAGCAAGAAACTCTGGTATCGTGATTGTTACTTAATGAAGCACTTGAAGCGCCAATTGTGTCCGGTGTCAAAAAGAAAACTGTTCAGGTTGCGTCGTTTTTTCACCTGTAAAGCTCGTATATGCTCAAACCTGGAGTCTGATAATTACATCTGATTATTGCGTCTGATTATATGATTGTTGGTGGCATACAGGGGGGCGTGGAGATCATTTGTAGTCCCCCTATCAACACTCCTGTTATCATATCACCTTTAAACGAGAGGCGTCCCGTATGACTTTCTTCGGGAGTCTCATTTCGGACAGTTTCTCCAGAAGTCTTTCTCTGTCGAGTAGGTTTTCGGCATAACACTGGTGGTTCGGGTGCGTTAAGCTGTTGTAGATCAGGTGGCTCTTGATCTCTTCACGCAATTAGACAATTTACTTACGGAGGTTTGGTCATCGGGCCTGGGGACGCTACTCATGAGGTTGCTGATATTGCTTCGACAGCCTACTGCCGGTTTCGCCCCTCCTGGCCATTAGGAGAAGGTCTGAATTTCCTATCCTACTTGAATACCAGCTGTTGCACTCATTTTTAATCTTTTGGTTTGTGTATCTAAGATGGTTTGGAAGTCGCCCAACAACTCATATGCAGTCGTTGTGAGGTTTCGCGGTAATTACCTTCCGTTAGGATGACAGCAGTGTATTTGCCTCAACCTTGTTTCATTGCTCAGCTTTGCCTGACTAAGCTGTATATCCGGTTAACACGACTATGATGCGCCAATCGGTGTGTTCCATGATGCCTCCGAGTGAGACATCCAGTCAAACTGACATATACTTGTGTCACTGAGGCTGGGGCGTGCGCCTTGGCCACTCATGGCTCACCGACATAACGACGGAATAGTCAAGTGATCCTTTCTCAGGGGTGGGATACGGACAATTCTATGGCTGAAGAGAAACCGCAAATGAAAAGGCGCCGATAAGTCCTAAATACAATGAGACGACCAGATGTGTATTCCGCTCTGTAAGTTGACTCAGTCTATGCTGAAAAGCCGAGCAGCATTGTACAACTGTTTTATCCTTATTGCAAAACCATTGTCAACATCTCACGAGACTCCCGGGGCATTCGGGTTCGCAGTCTTCCAGTTAAGAGTAAACTATTCGGTGTGATTAACTCGAACTTGGTGAGGAAATCACCATTCGATCACGAATTCACATCACGTGGATATCCAAACCAACAGAAACCTTTGAGCAGTCAGTGGTTGGCAAACTGATGAGGGCTCCCAGCTTCACATTACTCGTCCTTCATTCTGCCGTCAGGGTCCACAAGAGCATCATTTTAAAGCTTGCTCCCCTCTGACTACTTATATTTTTACTTAATCTCATTCGGAGTCAGGCCACGACAAGCATCACTCAATTATTCTAGTCTGTGTAGGCTAAATTGACTCCCCCCCGCACATGACTTACAGATTATTTGGTCCCGAACACACGGTGGCCTGATTTGGTTATACGCGTGTACGCGAGAGTTCAGCGGTACGTTTTCACAACAGACTGATGCATTGATTATTGGCGTTTCCCAACCCTGCCGTGTGGTGACCCCAGAATCAGGCCTCTGATTAGGGGCTGGCTCCTGACCCACTCGGTGTAGGTGAGCCTTAGTCATCTGCAGTGTAGACGCGATCAGGGCGTCCCTACCATGTGAATCGAACGTGACCTCTGTGTTGGTCGACTGAGGAAGGGGGCGGTCCATCGCCAATATTTGTGCCTTGAAAACAGGTGACTCACCTCCCTGTGATGTAAGTGTTGCGATTACTGGACGGTCCTTGCGCCCTCTGATTGGATGGGAGAGGAGAACAACGCAACCATCCCGGTGTACGCTGTATGGCGGACTGACAGACGTGACCCCAAAACAAAACAAATCAGTAGTACATAACAGGTAAGGTCAAACACGAAGGAAACGGACTGACACGTAGGAAGACACACAGAGGGAGGGG